TTCTGAAATCAGCCTGATTATCATTTCTTATGGCACAACAGTATTCCATTATAATCATATACCACAACTTGTTCAGCCATTCCTCAATTGATGGGCATCCCTTCAATTTCCAATTCTTAGTTACCATGAAAAGAGCTGCTATAAATACCCTTGAACAAATAGGTCCTTTACTTTTTCCTTTTTTAAAAAATTTCTTTGGAACACATACCTACTAGGGGTATTGCTGGATGAAAAGGTATGCACAGTTTTATAGCCCTTTGGGCATAGTTCCAAATTGCTCTTCAGAGTGGTTGTAGCATTTCACAATTCCACCAACAGTACATTAGTGTCCCAATTTTCCCGCATCCCTTCCCACATTTATCATTTTCCTTTTCTGTCATATTAGCCAATGTGGTAGGTATGAGATGGTATCTCGGAGTTGTTTTAATTTGCATTTCTCTAATCAATAATAATTTAGGACTTTTTTTCATATGATAGATAGCTTTAATTTCTTTGTCTGGAAACTGCCAATTTGACCATTTATCAATTGGAGAATGATTTATATTACTATAGATAGAATATCCTTCTATATTTGAGAAAGGAAGGCTTTATCAGAGATACTTACTCTAAAAGCCACCCCCCCATTTTCTGTGTTCCTTCCAATTTTGATTACGTTGGTTTTGTTTGTGCAAACCCTTTTAAATTTAATATAATAATGCTCTCTGTCTCTTCAATCCAGATTTTTAAAGGGTTATTTTCTTTAGCGAGATTTTGTATAACTTTTACCATTTGGCAAATTTTGATTATTAAGAACTTATTTTCTTCAGCATTTTTTGTGCTTCTTTTACCAAGCTGCTAATTATTTTTTTCATAATTTTCTTGAAAAGCTCTCATTTCTTTTCCCAATTTTTACTCTCCTGCTCTTATTTTATTTTTTAAAATCTTTTTTACCTTTTTAAAAAACCTCTTTCTTTAGTTTTTCTAGGAATTCTTTTTGGGCTTTGTCTAATCTGCATTTTTCTTTAAGGCTTTGCTTGTAGATCTTTTCAAGTCATCTTCTGAATTTTTGTCATATCATAATAGAAGCTTTTTATGGTCATGTCCACCTTTTGTTTTCATAGCTTAGTGGGGGCCTGTAAATTTTTGGTGTTTGCAAGGTAGTGCGATGCATGGAGAGTTCTCTTCACTGCTCTCCTGGTCTGAATGGTGGTCTCTTGGGTAGAGCCCCTGCTCCCTTGCAACCATGACCATTCCCCATTCTGTTTGGAACTACAACCCAGAACTGGATAATAGACCATAGATCCACCAGATGGCACCCATTCCTGCTCCCAGTGCTAGTACAGGGATCCTGTGGGATCTCTTTCTATCCAGATGTTAAGTCCCCTTATGATCCCTGGGACATAGGTGACTCCCTATGGCTGCTGCTGCTACTGCTGGTACTGCTTCTGCTCCAGCATGTGCTCCTAGCCAGCCTGCATGCTGGTGTCTATAGACTTTGCTTTCTGTCTTCCTAAGCTGCCGTGGGCTGGGAAAAAATATCTCACTGTGACTTTTAATGGGCTTTCCTGCACAGAATTCAGTTTGTGCATTTTTAGACTGATATGGAAGGAATGTGTTGGGGGAGCTCAGGAAAATATTGGCTTCACTCCAAAAATCTTCGAAAAGAAAATTTCCAAGTTGTCAGGGCTGGGAAAGCTTCCTAAAGAAGGTAACATGGTGTCTTGGAGGCCAGGTAGGATTTCAATCAGTAGCAAAAGCAGGAAGGGAGGGCATCCTAGGCACAGAGAATGGTGGGTGCTATCAGACTTGTCCAGGAGAAGGCAGACAATCCAATTTGGCTGGAGAATAGGGTACAAAAAGCAGATTAAAGTGAGATAAAGTTAGGAAGGAAGGGTGGCACCAGACTGTGGAAGGCTTGGAGGGACAGGTTAAGGATTTTGGATTTTATTCAGTTATAGAGAGGTTTTCAGCCTAAATGGCCATTTTTGGAGTTAAGGCATTGAGTCTCATAAAGGTCTCTTAAAATTCAAATGTGTTGCTTAGGAGCAGTAATACCAAATCACTTTAGCACCTTATAATGTATTAGCACAGATTAATTTACCAGATTAGATAATTGAAGCCTTAGAAAGGTAGCCTCAGGGTATAGGACAACCTAGCAAGAAGAGGGAAAGGAAGTTTAGAACTGTGCAGAACAAAGGGGCAGATCTGGAACGTCCAGGTAAGGTACCTGAATAAGTTGGGGCCTACGTAGCCAGGCACTCTTCCTCTCCCCCCTCCCCCACCATGCCAAAAAGAAAGAAAGGGAGATGAACCGAGCAGAAGAAAACTCATCTGACTTCACAATTTTCCCTACCTCTGGCCCTGCTTGTGTGTTCCTGCCCACATGGCTTGCTTCTATTCTCTTCCCTTGCTCCACTGACTGATCCCTGTACAGACATAAGGAACAATGGTGAGGGGTGTGTTGGGAGGGGGGAAAGAGGATAAGGCGTGTAAAAATGCAGCTTCTAATCCAACAAATATGTGTGGAGACTCAGAAGGGCTTCGAGCAGGATCTTTGGAGCTAGTGTGTGGAAAGAGGAACAAAAGAAACATTGATCTGGGGGTTGAGACGGCAACTTTTTCCCCTTTGCATGCCCCATTGGCTCTCATTGTCAGCAACTGTGAAAAGAGCCAATTATTTAGTCTGCTGGTGTGATGCAGCTGTCCCACACATGTTACAAATAAGGGCCAGTGAGCTGTTCCTATTTTTAGCATTTTAATGCAGATGCAAAGGTCACAGAAATTCCCCATTTGCTGGCTATTTCTCCTCCCTCTCTCTCAATCTCCCTCCTCTGCCTGAGCCTATTCCTTGAATAGCTGTCTTTGCCAGTTAAGATGAATTAGGAAACCCTGACAAAAAAGAAGAAAAAGTCTCCACAATTCACTTATTTCTCATTTCTGGCTGACCTCCCCATGCCTTCCTTGAATTGGATGATATCGTTATCTAGTGACGTGGACTCCTGCTCAAATTCTTCCAGAGATACCACTCCACATGAAATTATAGGCATACCTCTCTCTTGCCCAGAAAGATAATCCTAGCACTTAGATTGGGAGTTCTTAACCCTTTGGGGATCTGCATCCCCAAGGGGTCTGGATACTTTCCAGCAGGTTCTATCTATCTATCTATCTATCTATCTATCTATCTATCTATCTATCTATCTATCCATCTATCTCTTTATTTTCACTAACTTCTAACTGAAATTGGTGGCAGCTAGGTGAAACAATGGATAGAGTGCTGGGCCTGGAGTCAGGAAGGCTCATCTTCCTTAGTTCAAATCTGGCTTCAGACACTAGCTGTGTGACCCTGGGCAAGTCACTTAACCTTGGTTATCTCAGTTTCCTCATCTGTAAAATGAGATGAAGAAGAAAATGGCACACCACTCCAATATCTTTGCCAAGAAAACCACAATTAGAGTCAACGAAGAGCTGGACATGACTGAAACGATGAAACAGCAGAACCGAAGTTGAGCACTTTCTTTAATTATTTAAAAAATATTGTGAGAAGGGGTCCCCTAGGATTCCCCAGACTAACAAAGGGGTCTATGATACACACAATCCTTGATCTAAACAAACCCCCTCACTTGACAAATGGGAAACCAGAAGCTCCAGGACATGAGGTCTTTTGCTTTAGAGACACATATTGGTAGAGCCAGGGTAAAAGGTCTGGTTCCACTGTATGACCGTATGCCAAGGTCTGAGTGTGAGATGACAGTAATGTTTCCCATTTATCTACTGTTTACACACATGATCTCAACTGATCCTCGCAACCACCTTGTGAGGAAGGCACTATCATTATTGCTGTTCAATAATTCCCTACTCTTCGTGACCCCATTTGGGGTTTTCTTGGCAAAGATCCTGGAGTAGCTCACTATTTCTTCCTCCACCTCATTTTACAGATAAGGAAACTGAGGCAAACAGGGTTAAGTGACTGGCTCAGGGTCACACAGCTAGTAAGTGTCTGAGGTCAGATTTGAATTCAGGTCTTCCTGATGCCAGGCTCAGCGTTCTAACCATTATGCCATCTAGCTGCCCATAGTGAGGAGGAAACTGAGGACCACAAAGGAGAGGCAATTTTTCATGGTCACAGAACTAGAAAGTGGCTGAGGTGGTCAACCTCACTTCAAGTCTAGACCTTTCTCCTCTAAGCCATGTCCTAGCTCCTGCCAAATAAGTAAAAGCCAAATTACTTATTTCACATATGCTTAGGATTATGGGTTCATAGACAAGAGCTGGGAAGGACTTTAGAGGCCACTGAGGCCAACTCCCTCATTTTATAGATAAGGATACGGTTAAGTGACCTACCCAAGGTCACATGGGTAGTAAGCATCAGAGACTGGGTCCCGCTGACTCCAAAGCAAATGCTTTTCCCACTTATGTTTGCACTTGATATCTCCTTAGAATGAGTGCTTTACATACAGCAACTATTTTGTTTTTGTACCGGTATTCCCCACACTTAGCATAGTACCTTGCACATTAAATACTTATTGATTTAATGATAGATGCATGTATTATATCAGCATTCCAGGCTAATTACCTACTTAAACAATACAAATTTTTTTTTGGGGGGTGGAAAGAATATTGACTTTAGAGACAGAATACCTAGACTCAACTTCTTCCTCTTACATTTATCTTGTATCCTTAGGCAAGTCTCTTAACCTCTCCCTGAGCCTCAGTTTCCTTATCTGTAAGATGAGCCAGTTGGACCACATGGCCTCTAAGGTACCTTTCAGCCCTAGAGCTATGATCCCCCATCAGTTGTTGGAAACACTGGAAAGCAGGGGCCTAGGGAAATGGGATGCATCTTCTCTCCCTGAGCTGGGCCCTTCCCTGCAGCACTTGAGAGCATTTGCTGGAAACCCACAAGGATTTCTAGCATGCCAGCGATACCTCCTGAATGTCCACAGTGCCCTTTCAACCCAGGAACTGGATGGCAGCTAGAACAGAAAGCAGGAATAAAGCAGAGAAAGACCAAGCCACCTTACCTGTCTTCAGGGTCATTCAGAGCCAGGTTCCGAGTCACGTAGCACATTTTGAGTGGGATGCATTTTTTGTCTCGGTGAAATGAGAGGGAGAGTGATGACAGCGGATCCGAGTTGGTGCTTCCTAACCGTGGGGATTCAGGTGGGGGAGTCTCCCATCCAATCTCTGACACTGGAGAACCCTTCTTCACATAGGGAGTTGCTTCTCGCATGTACTTCACTACAGAGAGACAAAATCCAAGAGGAAAAAATCAGGATTATAGAATCAGAGGCTATGAAAACTGCTGTGATGGGCAGGGGTGGGTGGGAACCATTGGATTTCTGGGCATCAGTTTAGCAAGGACACAGGTAAACCAGAGGAGAGAAAACCAAGATGGTGAAGGGCAGCAAGTCCATGATATACAAGGATCAATAGATTAGTAGGAAAAACTTGGGAGTGTTTAGCCTGGAGAAGATAAGACTCAGGTGGGACATGTTAACTGCCATGTATTTGAAGGCATGTCCTGTGGAAGAGGGATTAGGTTTGTTTTATTCGGTCTCAGAAACAATATCATGAGCAATGTGTAGAAATTGCAAAAAGGCAAATTTAGTCTCGATGTCAGGAAAAACAACTTCCTCACAATTAAACATGTATTTAAAATTAGAATGGGCTGCCTTGGAAGGGAGGGGATTCCATCCTGGACACCTTTAAAGAAAAGCTTGTCTTTTTTTAAAGGGTTGGGCTGATGACAATTGAGGTCCCTTCTAACTCTGAAATTCTGTGTTTCTCAGATTTTGTGATCTGGACTTAGAGAATCCAGATTTAAACACTGCTTCTGCCCTGTATTTTTTATTTATATGACATTGGACAAGTCACTGAAAATATCTAGGCCTTGCTTGCCATGTTTGTAAAATAGGATATTCATACTAGATAGGCTCTAACATCTCTTCTAGTTCTAAATCTATGCTTCTATGATCCTGGGATCTTAGAGATCATTTGGTCCAATCTAGTCCATCTCCCACCCCATTTTAGAAAGGAGGAAATTGAGACCCAGAGAAATGAAGTGACTTGCCCAAGATTGCATAGTTGACTTATTGCAAAAATAAGTAACTCATTAATTTATTTATTTTTGCATGGCAAAATCACTTCACCCTGTTTGCCTCAGTTTTTTCATTTGTAAAATGAAATGGAGAAGGAAATGGCAAACCACTCCAGTATCTTTGCCAAGAAAACTCCAAAATGGGGTCATGAAGAGTCAGACATGATTGGAAAATGACCCAGCAACAATCTAGCTGCCAACTCTTTCATCTTAGAGGTCCCTTTCAAAGCCTGTGATTCTATAATTCCATGAACATATAGAGAGAAATTAACTGTCTTTATGCCTATCCCTCTAACAACCTTCTGACCATATGTTTTAATGTTCCAGTCAAACTGAACTGCTTGTTATGCCCCAAACATATCCTATACTTTATAGACCATCTCTGTGCCTTTGTTCACACTGTCTTAATTTGCTCAGTCCAACCTGTCTCTACCTGGGAAAATCCTTCAAGATCTTAAACACCGCCTCCTACCTTCAGCTTGCTCTGATTCCCCTGGCCAGAAGTCTTCTCTCTACCAGAAATCATCTCTCTACTAATCATACCTTGTTTTTCAGTTCAATGAAGAAAACAGGGTCGGGGAATTGTCAAAGCACTGAATGCCAAGACAGAGCCAAAGAGATTAATAGACTCAGTGAGGTACTATAAGGGTTCTCAGGGCAAGATCAGAGTCTCCTAGGAACTCAGATCCAGTATGCTTTTTGGTGGTCACAAGTGGAAAGGAATGAGAGATGGCTGCTCAATGGATAGAGACAGAGGGAGCCAGAACATTAGTCTGTAAATCAAAATTTTTGTAGTTTTATTCTTTAAGAATCATTTTTGTTGTAAAGTATGAATGCTATTTACTTTTTCATTCAACGAATACTTATGTGTGAATTAATGATAAACCACATATTAAGCACTTACTATGTGCCAGGTATAGTATTAAGTGATGGGGTTACAAATATAAGCAACCAAAGCAGTCCTTACCCCTCAGGAATCTTATATTCTAATGGAGAAAAACAAAACTTAGAGGACAGATAGAAGGAGATGGGGGGTGGATGTGGGGTTAGGATACTGGAAGCTTGGTTTAGAAATGTCTAGGAAGTGGAGGACTGAATTGTGTCCAAAGAAGAAGGAGAAATGACTAGCAAGTGAAAGACTGAATTGTGTCCAGAAAAGGAGAAAGAAAACTCATCTATCAGACCCCAGGGTGGCTCCTGCGGTTTCAGTGGAAGCCACTACACTAAGTATGAAGACACTAATAAACGTGAAATGTTCTTTCCATCCAGGAGATTATAGTCTAGTTTGTAGAAATAAAATACATACACAAGTCACTACAACCCGAATCAATACATAACAAATGTCATGAGAGGTAAAGCAAATTAAGTCCTGTAAGAATTCAGGAGAGAGCATGCTTGCTTATGGCAGAGATAACGTTTTAACTAAGCTTTCAAGGTTGAGAAGAATTTAGATGGGCAGAGACAAATGGAAGGCATCATTCCAATTTGGGGAAATTGTATAAGCAAAAACAAGGTGTACATGTTATGTTGAAGAACTGGACTTGTGATTTCATTGATATAGAGAATTTCCAGGAGAGGAAACTCCTTCTTCCAGCACAGGTTGCCACCTTCTCTGCAATTTAATCTTTGAAAGTTGCTTAAAGCCCTGAAAGTTTGTTATTTGCCTACGGTCATAAAGTCATGTGTCAGAGGCGAGACTTGTGAACTCAGGTCTTCCTGGCTTCAAGATCAGTTCTCTTTTCACTGTATGATGGTGCTTTTTGCTTTTTTTTGGGTGGGGGGAAGTAAGGTGGGGTAGGTAGTGGCTAGCAAAGTAGAAAGGTGGATTAAGGACAAACTGAGGACCTTGAATGTCAGGTTGAGGGGTTCATAATTTATCTTCTAGGTGAGAGATAGCCACTAAAGTTTCGAAGTAGAGGAATAACATGTCCAAGGGTTTTTTTTAAAAAAGTTATATTGATATCTTTTTTATTTCTATGATATTTTCCTGTCCAAATATATCTTCCCTCCCATCTCCTATCCAGTGAAGCATCCATTGTAACAAGGAACTTTAAAAAAAAAAAAAGAAAAAAAGGCAGTTCAGCAAAAACAAGCCACACATCAACCACATATGCAATATTCCATACCTATAGTCAAGGTACTTTTTAAGGAAGATTAAACTGGTGTTGGTGCATAGAATGGTGAGAAAAAGAGGCCACAGAGGCAGCAAGGCTGTTAAAAGGCTACTGTAAAAGTCCAGACAAGGTGTGTCAAATGAGTGATGCCACTGGGAGAGAAGAAAGACTCAAAGAAGATGCAATCTAAGTTTGGGTGTCAATCTGGTTACCAGGTGGGCCTATTTACATTTGGATTTCATTCCAAAATCCAGCAAAAATAAGTGTAAAAATGTTCCTTCTCCTGGGCCCAAATATGAATTCCATGCAGCATCTCACATTGTCTTCACAGACTGCTGGACAATTTTCAGAAGGGCTTATGACCAGACTCAGAAGGAAAGATGTACAGCCATGGGAACAGAGAATCATTCCAATTTATAATCTTGTGAATTTCACTACTTGGGTTGGGGTTCTCCTCTAAAGGAGAGAATGAAAATCCCATTCTGAAATTCCATCTTGAGATTCCCATTTTTAAAAATATATTTTTAGAAGAAATCAAATCAACATTGCCAGCTGCTAATGATTACCAAAAATTAAGGAAAATGTAAGACACAGGAAGCATGATTATGACAAGACTCACACGTCATGCCTGCAGGCCACCCTTTATGCCTACCCCCTAGTGACATTACAAACACTGTCACTAATTGCTAGAATCCTCCACATCCCATGAAATTTCCACCCTTTACAAGCTGCATAAAGTGACCTGAGGTGGTTAAGCCCCATGCGTTGGAGAAGGACCACATACCCCAGCAAATGAATGACAGGAGGAGTGACAAGACAGCGAGCGGGAAAAGAGGATGCTAAGCTTTCTCTGCGTTTTTAAAAAAGAAAGTCTTATACATGTTAAAAAAAATTGCTGTCACCTTCAAACTGCTCTTCCTGCCCTTCCTGCAGCACAACTGTCTCTAACAGCAAAGAAGTAGAGTCAAAGAAAATAAACAAAAAATGTTGACCTTGTCTGATAGTATATGCCTCCTTCCACACCTACAGTCCCCTGTCATTCTACAGAGAGGAGGTAAATACAATGCATCTTCAGTCCTCCGGAGTCAAGACTGGTCACTGCATTGACCTGAATTCTGATGACTCATTGTATATGTTTCTGTTTTTTGTTCTGCTCTGTGCTATGTATTAGTTCTCAGAAGTCTTTCCAAGTTTCTCTGGATAATTCACAATCATAATTTCTAAAGGTACAATTCTAAAGGTACTTTGTTTCCAGGATGGTGGGGAGAGGTTATTACAGGCAGTGTTGCTATGAATATTTTGGTACATGTGGGACTTTTCCCTGTTTTTTTTAACCTTCTTGGGATACTTACTCCATTTTGATATCTCTGAGTCCGAGGTAATGGAAAAAATTTGTTACTGTTCTAGCACAGTTCCAAATTATTTTTTAGGATGGTTGAACCAATTCCTACTTCCACCAACAATGTATGAGTGCACCTATCTTCCCATAGCCCCTCCGACATTGCCAATCTTGGATCCATCATGCCTTTCAAACTGGAGTTCCATAATGGTAAGGAAAAACACTAAGTAGTCTTGCCTTGGTAGCTCTTCTTAAATTCCCATGTCTCCTTGCTGCATATCTTAAGGTTTATTAGGTTGAGGGGCCTCTTTTCCTAGCCAGGAGTGGGGAACTGTGGCCTCTAAGCCACATGTGGCCCTCTAGGTCTTCAGGTATAGCCCTTTGACTGAATCCAAACTTCGCAGAACAAACCTCTTTATTCTGTGAAGTCTGAATTCAGTCAAAGGGCCACACCTGAAGACTCAGAGGGCCACATGTGACCTTAACACCACAGGTTCCCCACCCCTGTAGACTACCATTGTAAAGAATGATGTAATAGAAACAGCATTGCACAGGAGTTCATGGCACCTTACCTCAAACTGTAGTTCTGCCATTTTCTAAGTTATGTGACCTTGTGCAAATTATTTAAACTCTCAGAGCCTCAGTTTCTTTATCTATAAAATATAAATATTAATTCTTATACTACTTT